TCCTCCTGATCGTGAACACTTCCCTCTCCCAGTTCCCGGCCAACTCCTCATCTTCCAACCATTCCAAGGGAAACAAGGAGCACGGGTAATGCCAAAACAAAGTGTCCCCCACCCGAAAAAGCGGCTTTTCCAGAGCCATTCCTCAGGATCGGCTGCGAACCAGTGCCCTCACTGGGGTAACTGGGGTTATCCTCGCTGGGAGAACTGGGGCCACACCACAGTGCTCCCCTCCCCAGCATCTCCTGCGGCACCTGCACTTCCCCACCGGGAAATCTTCCCGGGAATCAATCCCAGTCGGTGCCGGGAGGGACGGGGCTCTGCGTGTCCCCGGCCCACGCCAGGAGCCGCATTTGGAAGGAGGCGGCTGTTCCTTGTCCTGGAGCCACGGGAACATCCCAGGCATCCCGGGACCAGGCTGGGGGAGCTGCTTAACCCCTTCCCGAACCTCCAGCTATTCCTCTTGCGGCGGGAATTTCCATTCCCCACATTTCAGGGGGAGAAGGGTCGCTCCAAGCCGTGCTCAGGAGAGGAGCCTCCTCTGTAAACTCCAGAAAGACCAGGGAAGAGCCGTTTCCAAGCGATCCCGGGGCAATTCCAGCTCAGCTAACCAGCTGGAAGACCTGGGTGGCCTGGAACAGATCTGGAATTAAAGGGGGATCCACAAAATCCTTGGATCTGCTTGTGCTGCCGACACCTCTCAGCCCCAAATCCCAGCTGGGATACGAAACCTGCCCGAGAGCACCCGGATAAAGAGCTGGAAAGTCACAGCCTTTCCCCCCCTGGCTCAGCCATGGAAAACTAGGGAAACCAGCTGCTTCCCAGGCTCCCACGCACGATCACATCCCAAATATTCTTAGTGCAGAGGTGAAGGAATGTGCCAGGGAGTGGGATTGGATCCCACTGAGGAGGCACAACAGGAGCAGAGGGACTGGTACGAAGCTCTCCAGCTCCAAACAAGCTCCTGAGGGATTTGACCAGCGCAGGAAAGGAGACAAATGGGCCCAAATCCAAATTAAAGGATGGATTTGAAGCGAACAATAACCGGGAAACAAACGGTTTGGGGCCAAACCTGCTCCTTGATTCCCAGAAACTTTTTATTCCACAAGAACCAGGGGTTGTTGGAGCTTTTGCACGAGGAGAACTGGAAGGACCGAGAGGTCAGTGGTGTCCAAAGGGGGGAAAAGAGGGAAAAATGCAGCCCATGGGATCGCTGTCCCTGCACGTCCCGGGAATCCCATCTCCATTCCCATCCCATCTCCATCCCCAGCCCTGCCCAGAGATGTCAGAACAGGGACAGCAAGAAAATCCCTGGACACCAGCACAGCTTTGGCTTTGCAAGGAGCACCAGGATTATAGGGGAGCACCAGAATTTTACAGGAACACCAGGATTTAGGGGAACGCCAGGATTTCAGGGGAATACCAGGATTTCAGGGACACCCTGTCCCCTCTGGGATGCCTGGACCAACCCCCCTGGTCCCTCGGTGACAGCAGCTCCTCCCCAGCACAGCCTTTCCTGGGATTTGTGTTCCCCACCTCCTCTCTCCCTCAGCCCGGGGGGGTTCCAGGTGTGTCCCCCCTTTCCCAGAGGGATTGTGACTTACATCCACGGCCTGCTCCCTGCGCAGGACCCTCCTGGGCTCCCTGCCGTGGTGGTTCAGCTCCGGGTCGCAGTTCTGGGGGCCGGGGGAGGAGTTTTCCGCTTGGTTCTTCTCGGCGGGGCCGCTCCCCTCGGTGTCCACCACATCCAGCTCCTTCTCCAGCTCCTCCATCTCCTCCGGGGACAGCGTGGACAGCAGGTTGTCGATGTCCGGGTCCTCACTGACCTGGCGCCGGTACTTGGCCACCTTGGACATCTTGGCCCTCTGGCGAGACACGGTGGCGGTTTTGGGGTTCCCGAGGCAGGAGAGAAAAAATCAGAAGCCGAAGCTCCCGAAGCTGCTTCCCGGGGGGGCAGCAGG